CGCCGCATGGATCGCTATTAAGGATGCTCTTCACCCGGACGACGATCCGTCGGTGCGAAGTATGCGGTCTTTGCACCAGCTCGCGAGCTTTGGCGTTCCGTCGTTTCTACGATGCTACATGCCATCTGAATGAGCGTCTCTGCCGCATGGAGGACTCAACTCTGCAACAGGAGGTACACATCTCCAGGGCTCAAACTCAATTTCGCCGATTGGTCACTCGTTTCGCACGTCCACGTTCCAGCCCAATGTGAGCGGATGGCCAACTCTTTGCACGGGTGCGATCGTCCTTGATGACTCTTCCCTGTGCTACGATGATCACCCCCCTCATTGCGAGCTTTGCCGAGCAACAGCGACGTTTACCTTTTGTTCTTCGACGGCAAATCGCGTGGAAATCCTGGAATGGATAGGGCTGGATCAGTCATAAAAAATTGCACGTTATGATGCACGCTATTTGCATCATGTGGGTGGGGAGCATGTCCTATATCTCTACTAATAGCACCAACTATGTTGCGGAATACCGGGGGCTAGTCACTGGTCTCCGCCAAGTTAAAGCTAGCGGATTCTCATCATTGCATGTCGTTGGGGACAGTGCGCTCGTGCTAATTCAACTTCGAAACCCCTCGCTCCCTCGCAAGGCACACCTACAATTGCCTTTTTAGGAAGTATGGGCTTTAGCAGACGATGTTGACGTCGCCAGCTGGGTCCATCGCTACCGCAACATAAAAAGATGGCAGATCGACTGGACAATCTCACTAGATTATCATGTGCCTCCATTCAAATGCACACTACCTCGTGGCACCGTGTCTACTCAGAGGCCGCGGACTTCTTCGAAAATGATGTCAATCACTGGCTGGAGGTTTTCCAGGCCGATCTTAAAGAACTACAGAGCCGCGCAACGCATGCGAGGTATCTAATAATCTCGATTCAGTACCTTGCGCAGCGCCGCTTGGCAGTCCGAAGACCAGTTCTACCCTAGTATAAAAAAGTAGATGTCTACCTGGTAATATTGTCGCCTGTAGACAGGATATAGCGGGTAGTTCGCGAACCTAAATTTACCTCATCGTCTTATCATCATCAAATCTGGCCAAGGGATAGCGTATCTGCAGCTGAATAGCTAGCAATTTTGCTCTTGCTTAAAGCTGCGCTCTACTTATCCCTTGTCTCTTTCGGAGATCAACAACATTAGAAACTACTACGTCAAGAGCGGACCACGGGATAAAAAGAGCATACGAAGCACAACCTAGAACGTATGCGTTCTTCTGCTTCAGTGATACGAAGCAGATAGTATACTTTATTGTATGCCGTTATAAGGGTGAGCTGAGAGAACTTACACGCGATAATTGTGTGCTAATACGATAATTGTAATTAAATCATTCCGATCCAGCTGGATGTGATTTTTTTTCTTCACCGATAAAGGGTGAAAAAGGAGGTGCAACGACCTGAGAAAGCAAGTCAGCCATCTTGAGTCGTATTCCACAAGGATTAGGTAGTGGCAAGGCCAAAGTCATCAACTTATGATTTATACTTATATCACTTCGGACAGCGACCTTGAAAGTAGGCAGCCGTTTGAGTTGTCGTGCTGAGGGTCTGGCGATGGCCATGCACACATCGGTTTTGCTATCATCGACCGTGGAAACTTGGTGCTCTGGGGATGCGTCCACCCGTTCTTACTTCGTCAAACGAACCTCCTACGGGTATCTGTCTTGTGAGCATGCATGATGTCTTGCTATCCTACACTCTCCTTAGCATTGTACTGCCGGTTCTAGTTGAACCATAATCTGCTGCAAACACCGTTGCAGCAGCAGGATAGCAACTTCACGGTCCTAGCATTTATCTCACTTATATTGTGCTGAGACTCGCCCTAGGCAAGCTGTAAGAATGGCTCGATTCGCTGCGTGGAATAGTCTTCGCAGCTGAGGTATCGGGAGTGACTGTATTAACAAGCAAGCTTTAGCAATCCTACGAAGTGATTATGGAATCCATGATGCATTTTGTAAAGCAGGAGTAGATTGATCGTAATCAAGCATGATGTAGACATAAGCGATGTTTTCGATCCACATTGCTACCACCATGACAGGCAGTTGGTCAATGGGTGTCTTTTAAAACCCGATAAACCGATTTTATAAAAAGTGTTTATAGCATCCCATTAAACCACGTTTATAAACACGTTTATGAGCACCATAAATCTGTCGAGACCGAAAAATCATCTCGACAGATGTGCTGCTTCATATGCACTATTACAGCATTAAACAAATCACTCACAAACGCGCACACCCACCGCCGCCCACCACCGTCGAGGCCGGGCGGTGTTTGTTAGACGATATGTATCAGAAAGGTCGTGAAGGTCAAGGGCAATACCCTGTCACACGGTAAGTAACGACCGTACCTGATCGGCTAGTATACTTGACATCCTGACAAATGGGACGAGGCGACGATATCGCCACGTCCGACCACCTGAATGTTACATTATGTGAAGACGAGGCGACGAGATTACCACGTCGTCTTGTTGATGTTGTAACAGATGGGACGGAGCTGGATAGACGTGAACTATAGACGGTATAGTTGCAGTCCGTTTCGCATGCGTGTGTAGGTATTAACGAACGAGGAAATTTTATACTTAATACATATCAATTTTACTTCTACATCTTTTGCAACAAGTGCAGCAACACTACTACCAACTTCTAATAGTGTTACGCATTCCCAGCTTAAATTACAGCGATGAGCGACTTCTGTTTTATTGGCGTCACCTAAACTCCCGATTCGGTCGAAACTGGGTCGGAGCTGGAGCCTTCTTGTCGGCCCGACTTCCTCCCTTCGTTTTGTCATGACTATAAACGGGCAACTGAGCGCCGAGGCTGCATAGTTGGTACTCGTAGAGGTCATTCGCTGTCAGATTTTGGTCTAGTTCGCTTAAAGCAGGACGCCATTGGACTACATTAGTATCTGAGACGGAGTTTTTGAGGAAGACATGCCAACCCTTTCTGAAGAGAGTGGATTAGATTATTGGCACAGGTTTGTGGCTACGGGAGGCGGTTCATCAGCTTCCTTCCCAGGTCTGAAAGCATGACAACGGTCTCCTCAATTTTTATGTTTGGACGGCGTATCACATCACTACGAAGTAACCTAATGTCTATCATGCAGGGCGTCCCACGGACAATGGCTGCCGTGCATTGCAGGAGTTTAAAGGGTTGCCTGAGACTTCACTACACTTGTTTTGGGAGTGCCGAAGGCGCATGCATGCTGGGGTAAATTTCTTAGGCATTGGACTGGCTCTATCACTACTGCCCGTGTCTTTCTAGATGCTTCGGTAACTGTGCCAACTTATGGCTCCAAAAATTCCAGTGCTTCAGCGGTCTAGACTATTGGAGAAGTTTTTAAGATGATGTTGCAGCGGGCGAACAGGTGTGGCGAAGGGCATGGTTCCTCATGTGCTTTATTTACGTCACGCACTTATGGTAAGAGCGAAACGAGGCCGTTTTTGTGGCGCGCAGTCCACGACGTCTTCCAGTGTAATATGCTTGTGGACTACGGGTGTACGCCACCAATCACCTTCGCTATGCGAGAGCAAAGAGGTGCAGAAACAGTAGTATAATGGGCTCAGTTGCATGCATGTCTTGAACTTTTTACCCTCGAGTGGAGTGACGAACCACTACCCTAGCACGGTGCCACGTGACCGCCGCGCCTGGCTTAGACAATTTAAGACTTTTAGCATACTATCATAATCGGCAAAAGACAGTCATGACATCTCTCTCTATTTACTTGAACGGTTAATTGAAAAGTTGTGGTGGCAGGACATCGCATAAATATTTGCTTGCATTCGTTTTTGAATGACGATTATGGGGATACTACAAACACTTTTAAATAAACTTGGTTTAACGGGTTTTTTGCAGCCACCCAATAGTCTTTCGGACCGGATGAAAGCATTACAGTTTACGGTCCTATTCTATTAAGATAATCGAGCTCATGATAGGGGATCAAGCTTTACAGCTCGCCCTTTGTTTTAAGTAATCCACTTTAAAGAACTGATTCAAGTTAGAAAACAATATACAACAGCAGCAGACACTTAAGAAGGAGTATGATGCTGTTTCTGTATGTATTAGCCCAGTATAGTAGGCTAGGGCAAAGCGACCGGCCTTTGCTAATGACCGCCCAGCATTTGCTTTTGTGATCATATTCACTTTTAATCAATTTTAGGCCAATCACGTGCTTGCGTCATAATAGTAACCTGGCTAAAGAGTTAGGACAGGCTAGATCGCCCTTAGTACGGGTAAGGTACACCTAACCGCTTTATTTACAGACACACAGAGATAAGTACGATTAGAAAGCTCGGCATTCAACCTTGCGCACAGTCACCAGTAGCTTCACCCTTCGGGCTCGCAATAATTGATTAATTTGAGACGTTAAGTGCCGAGTAAAGACGCGACCAAAAGAACAGCAACAAGTTGACTTACAAAAGAGCAACAATCGATCCAGGCGCACTTCACTATGCCATTAAACTGTCAGAGGCACGGACGTTTCAGATTGGCAGCTTCACACGCAATACAAATTCGCATGCACAGCTTGGATCTTACACATTAGCCACTGGACTGCTAGGTTTCCATCTCATCACAAAATCACGCCCTCGACGCGCGAGCGACAGAGCATTCCACCCTGTAGCCTGAACACAGATTCAGTCAGACATCATGGATCTGGCTATCTGTCCTCAGATATTCCATCCGATCACCATTTGCTCTTCAACTTAGTCTTGCCGATCAAATATCAGCAGCGAAAAAATACGAGTGAGACCCAGGCAGGTTCAGGTTCAAACGCATCGCTATAAAACACCTTCACATCGGCGGACTGGTCTACCTTGGTAAAGCACGGACTTCAATTCTGCAACGATGACTGCTTGATATCGTAAGCACTTACTGTGTCATCAAGTCCGTCTGCAGATGAAGACGCACGTATCCACCAACTACTGCTAAACCTTCAAGTTCAAATACAGCGCAGCATCTGGCAAACTAGGTACGGCGCTTCTTTGCCGGTGCCTTCCGTGCCACTTTTTTTCCTGTAGCAGCAGGAGGCTTGCGCTTCACAGTACCACGCGCTTTCTTCTGGAATTTGCTTATATCCACTTCTTCATCCGGCTCGCTTTCAGCGTCAGACGGTACAGGCAGACCATTCTCCTCGTCCTTAATGACACTAGCCTGCCCTCGTCCTTTCTTGGCGGTACCTGAGCCAAGAACCGACTCCACTATTGCTTGGGACTTGTGGAAGGCCTTGTTGTACCTGATTTGTTCACGTGAGCAATCATAACATTGACAAGAACTTCAGTAGGCACGCAACACAAGAGTATCAGAAACAGACAGAAGTCTGCGCCATCATACATTCGCGTAAAGGCCGTCTTCGCCTTCGAGTCAAGATCCGAGTAAGAGTGGCGCTTCACGCCCGAAAATTTGAAACTTTCCATTGACTCTGTAAGGTCCTCGCGCGTGATCTCACACTCATCCAGCAGTTCAATCACCTCGTGAAAATTCTAAATGCGTAAGTCGCACCAGTACACACGCGTGAGCTCCGACAAATCCGAATCGTGTACAGTAGGCAAACGTACATCCTTCCCCAAAAGCAGCTTTTGTAAAAGTATCTCCTTCATGTAGGGCACGTAGTCGAGGCAGATAACTGCATGTACAACAGAAACCAATGTAACTAATCCACATCAAACAAAAACTTTCCACGTAAGCAAGCACGAACCTTCTTGAGAACCGGAGGCGTGTGACCTCATCCGGACTGACAACTCACTCAACAATCGTTTTGACTTTGAAGCAGTCGAGTTCTTTCCCAACCACCTATACGCACGAAATGAAATTTGTCAGCATGGGCATACCCGCCATGAATCTCGTTCATGCAACACGTACTTTGAAAACTCGGGGTGACCAATAAATCCAGCCGAGTATATACAAGCCCCGACGTTCATTGCCGCCTGTTTCGTAAGCAAGTCCCAGCGTTGCTCCACTCGTACGTACGTGCTTAACAGGTCGCTTTCTGAGATGAACTCAGACGCATGCATCGCAGCTTCTAAATTCTCATCTGACGACGTCCGGTTATTCATTATACTCTGAATATAATTCTCCTGCACCATCAGCGGCATCAGGTCATAATCGACGAAATATGCTTCATTCCTCGCATCAAAGGACAGATCGCGCCGGAATATCTGCTGTGTTGCGCTGAATGGATTGAGACGCAAGCTTTCATCCTTGTTATGCTGTGAAGAGGGATTGACCAAGTCTGCGTACGTCAGGTTAGTGGTAGTGAGTCGCCATCGCTGCATCTGCGTCAGTAACTGCCGAATGTCGTTGCCGCATCGGTCGGCAGCTTCTTCAATCGCGTTCTTCTCCATGCGCATCCCTTCATTCATACCAATCTCTATCAGTCGCTTGCCAATTTGGATCTTGGTCGGACGACGCATACGTAAATCAAAAGAGTGGTTTGCCAGAGATCGCACTTTCTGGCTCTGGCGATCGTTGCAAATGCATATAATTGGAGTCTTCGATTTCTTGATAAGCTGGATAAGTTCTGCCGTACCGCCGCGATCACCACCAGACATGCCGTCCACCTCGTCCATGATGACCACCCGACGCGCCAGGTGCATGTGATTTTTTCTAGCCTTCCCCGTCGGCACACCGAACTGGAGAGCTTGTGTGCCCAACACGTCTTTGAGACCGGTTTGCAGCATCTTCTTGCTGCGGGTATCACTCGCGTTCAGCTCGGTGCATTCAAATCCACACTCGCGGGCAACCAAGTTTGCAATCGTGGTCTTACCAATACCAGGAGGACCCGATAGAAGCACAGTCTTTGCACCACGATTCTCTGCCAGCTTTGTCGAAAACGGGATTTTCTTGGTCCCCTTCACGTGCATTGCTTCCCAGTCCAAAAGCCACGTCTTCAACTTCTTGCCTAGCTCAACATTGCCAATCATGTGGTCCAGAGTTTGAGGCTTGTACTTGTCAGTCCATAGCTCTTGATTAATCGACCTGGACATACAGCACACACAACGACGATTTTGTGAGACCTTTGTACAAACACCACACTGCTTCACTGCGCCGCAAGCTACAACGCACAAATCCGAGTTTTGCTTGCACTTCAATGAAGCGGCAACAACTTTTGCCTTCGCTTTCGTCTTGTCTGCTGCCAAATCCTGCGACTGTTGTGCTGTCGATGCCTCTGTAATGAGATTGTAGAACTCATTCTGGGTCAAAACGCGCACTTTTTTGGCCACTGCTTCCTTATACTTGGCTCCCTCAAGTGCTTGTCCACCCTGTTCCAGCGTAGCCCCGATCACCAGATGTGTTGTATTGCGTGTCACGCTGTTCGCAACAGACCCACCACAGCTCTTTACAAGATGCACTGCAGCCTCACGCGACAGATTCTCCATCACGCCAGAAAACGCAAACGTCTTGCCATCCAGACAACCTGAGCACGGAGCCGGCATGTTTTCCAAACCACTTGTGTGCACCGCAATTCTTTCGCCCAACTCATCAGCCGCAGCAGAGACTAAAACGGCAGCGTTTCTGCTCTTTGTCGTCTTCTTGTCTACCGTCACAGTCGGCTGCACTTGTCGTGCATCATCGTCTGTAGGCTTTTTAGGACATGGCCGTTTTGATTGCACCCTCTTGCTCGGGAGCTCCACGTCCAGCATCGCGTCGTCACTCGAATCCGCCTCAAAGTCAGAGTCAACTGCCTTGGTCTTTTTTTTGGTGGCTTTTTTCTTCACCACGTCCTTCTTCTTCTCCACCTTCTGCTCCTTCTGCTTGACTGAAACGTCCCGTCTGCATTCATTGTCGTCACTCTCCTCGTCCTCTTCGCTGTCGTCCAGCACAACGACATTCTGGTTCAAAGTGCTGCGAGTGGACCGACGTAATGGCGGTGTAGGCTCTGGCTCTGCCTCCTTTGTTGTATCTGCTTCATGCAAAATAAAAGACGAGCAAAGTAATTTAATTCAGACATGGGTACAGAAATAAATAAAATACGAATGACACGAAAAAAGAGCGGCAGCGACTACGTACGTTTTGGGACTGTTTTCGTTGGCTGTTTACTGCTAATACGTGGACTACCGTTGTCTCTGGTCCTGCTGCTCGTGTCCGTACTGTTGCCAGGAGCTTTGTTACGAAAGAACGAGCGAATGTCCATCGGCGTCTCGACTACGACGCGCACGTGGTAATTTACTGTCCTTTTCCCCGCCACACGACTGGTAATTTATCGTGTGGGGCACATGAAGCGAGGACGCATAGACACATTCATGTTTTGTACCGCACGAAAAGAATTGATTGCAAAAGATCAAAGTTTGCGGTGGTGCACACGAAAAGAACGGACTTTGTTTACACTTGACACGACGCGTAAGTAATTTATAGGCTACCGACGCATGCAGGCCTCTCCGTCGACGCTTAAACTCGCGAGTCTGTGCGTCTTATGCGGCCAAAACAGTTTACTGGCCATCTTGATGCGACTGTCAAGAGTAGGCGACTATCCGCGCTTTAACGCTGCCACGGCCGTGTTTGTAGGGGAAGCACTAAAGCTGCTCACGACATTTGCCGTGCTCATCTATGTACGTATCGCGTGCTGACACACGTGTGTAAATATGTTAAGATGTGTATAGTTGTGTATAGTAATGTAGGTTCGTATGTATAGTTGTGTAAGCACACCTGTATGCATGTAAGTACATCTGTATAAAAGGACGAAAGTGTATAGTCATGTACAGTTAAGTATAGCTATTTAAGTATGTAAGTCTGTATGTATGTCTGTATGTATTTATGTATATCGATACTTGTGGTGCGTTAATTTGATGCTCAGGTGTTTCTGACATTGTAATATGATCATTGTTGTTCCTGTTCTTGCAGGAGTTTAGTGCACTGAAGAAGGTGCATCGGAGGAAACGCATGAGCGATTCCTTTCGTGCGATCACCAACACGGGTGAATTGCTGCGTGTGAGTGTACCAGCGACGCTCTACGTCGTGCAAAATAATTTGCAGTACGTGGCCGTATCAAATTTGGATGCACCCACTTTCCAAGTCATGAACCAGCTTAAGATTCTCACGACGACCATCTTTTCCGTCGTGATCTTGACGAGAAAAGTGTTGACCATGCAGTGGGTTGCTATTGTGACGCTCATGATCGGCGTCGCACTCGTGCAGTTGGACGGAGAATCCTCTGCTGCCACTCTGAAAACCGATCGGACAGTGTCGAGCACGACAAAGGGACTGCTAGCAGTGGTGGCGGCTTGTGTCTGCTCTGGCTTTGCTGGTGTGTACTTCGAAAAGATTTTGAAAGGCAGTGGCTCTAGGACCACGTTATGGGAACGCAACGTGCAGTTGTGTTCTCTCGGATTGATACTGTCTGGAAGTGGCCTCGTATACTATGATCTCGAGTCGATCGTGACTCGCGGATTTTTCTATGGCTATCGTCCCGTGGTTTGGGCAGCCATCGGTCTCTCGGCTTTCGGTGGCTTGCTTACGGCTGTAGTCGTTAAGTATGCCGACAACATTCTAAAGGCATTTGCTACGTCTATAGCTGTGGTACTCTCAGTTATCATGTCGATATTCGTCTTTGACAAGATACCAACGGGCCAATTCGTGATCGGAGCTATAATCGTCAATGGCTCCGTATACGCATTCGGCAAAGCTCCAGAGTGGTGCAAACCTCATCTCGAATCCGCACGTCGAAAAGGCTCGAATGTTGAAGTCAAACACATTGCATAAGCCGAGGCTGAAGGGCGCAAGTAGCACATTTTGCTGGAGAGAAGGCAGGTTGAGAACCTAAGTCTTGACGAGTTGTCATTTCGTAGACTAGACTACAGCAATTTGTTTGCCTACGGTTTGCCGAGTATGTGAAGCAGACACTAATCAAGCTGTCAGGATGTATAAAGCAAGAGTTACACCACTTCAAGCAATTGCGTCGTTTGTGTAGTACAATTTCTCCAAAAGAGTGTCGGTATCTTGACGTAGACCGGATTGCTGCCATTCTAGGTCAGCCAAGTCAACATACACGGAGTAAGGGACATGGGCGCTTCATGTTGCTGGTAACTTGCGCCGAAAAGCCATAATTGCAACGTCCATAACTTTAGCATTTTTCGTAACACGTGATCCATTTATCATCATCTCTGAGCACATCTGAATCCCGATATATCGTACACTCACTATTTGTCCGTCAAGTAGCTGATTCGCATCATACATCGTCCATTGAGAACGAGAGCAGTTTCTTGTTACAAAGTGTCGGTCCGTCACGACGTTTGCGTTTTTTCTTCGCGGCTTCGACTGCAGCATTGGCTTTGCCCATTTGCACGACACTCTGTCCACTCGCTGAACCCTTTGTCTTCCTCTGCGTGCCACCTCCATCCAATAAACACGTCAGAAACTCCTTTTTCTCTTCCTCCTTCTCCTCGTTTTTCTTCTCTTTTGTAGCCAAATACTCGTCGATTGCCGCCTGTTGCACGGCGTCCAGCTCTTCCTCATCTTCATCACTTGGCTTTGGCAGCGTCGCAAACTTGGCCTGGATCGCAGGCGCCTGGTGGTACTTTTGGAGAAACTTGGGGATCACACGCGTGAACTGCGGTCCTTTGCCGCGCACTTTTCCGTTGCTGCCACCAGCATTCGAGCCCCGTACACGGCCATCCTCGTCGTCATCCATTGCGTGCGATGACAAGCCGGCACAATATTACTGTAACAATAATTGATATTTCGATTTCGACCATAATTGTGAATAATTGACGCCATTCATTTCTCAACATTCTTTTTTTGCGGCAGCAAGATGGTGACCCTAAAGGGATATTTGTGGAGCCAACGATGGAACATCCTGTTCACGACGCAAGTCTTTACCACATGCGGCATCGTGTACCAGCGCTACTGCGACAATCAGGAAAAGATACTCGATCGCAACGCGCTGGCGAGCACGACCTCAACGACTCGGACAACAACAATGCAACCGCTTCGTGAGGACAAGTGAAGGAGCTGCAGACTGAGAACTAATCGGTCAATAGATTTGAATGTCATTGACGTTGTCTAGTGCAAATGGATTTTTCGTGTGATGGTCATACGATGGCAGAGGTGGAGACTGCATTTGATCAACTCTTGACTGTCACCAAGGAATTAGGCTGGCCGCGATGCCTTCGATCCAGATGTGTACAGGATAAGTGACTCGGCTCTACGAAACTATTGCCATCTTGCAATCGGGTCGTGATTCACAGATCAAGCAGGCATCAGTCTACAACTGATCAGATCCATAAACTTCAATGCAAACGTTAATATGATGTTACAAGAGCACTCTCCTTGTGGATACATGTGGAGCACATGACGTCAGACTTGCCGCTCAGGTCAAGCGCATTTCGATGTCGTGATGTTAGACAAACTGGATCCCAGACTAGACCACGCAAATGCCACTGATTGGACGCGAGCAGAATAGCTACATGCGCTCATGACATGACCGTCTATTTAGTTTTGATCCACACGGTTACACGGTTCAACCGTAACTCCTGATCGAAGTCACTTCAAAATGGCAACGATCACTACTCAGCCGGCCGCCACTAGAGGTGATTTCACCACAATGTTGCGGCTGATGAGGTATGTGCTTTGATCTGGCTACCCTATATTGCAATACTCAGTTCGCCTGCTATCTTGAGTAGTCGTTTCTGTGTTGTGCATAAGGGCTACGTGACTTCGATGCGTTGATCATTTGTAGAAACTCGGAATTGCGACCGTTATCAATGGCTAGATCGATTGAGGCGAAGACCACCCGATTGAGATCACCATGCGATCTCTCAGGCATAAAGAAAACGGACTCGTGCTTTTTCAGCTTTTTAGGGCCGGAACTTCTTCATACGGACAGCTTATGGTGGGCTCATAGAAGACGGGAAACTGTTGTTTGTCCGTGGACACATCAGCCGCGCAATCGTTGTGGAAAGCTTTTCCTATGGTTTTAAAGAGGAGTCAGGGCCAAGTGCAGTCACAAGGTACAGAACAGAGAATCACAATGGCTGGGTCCGATCCCATGAAGTGAGCATCGAGCTTGATAGTGGAGTACGATCAGGCCTATGGAATCGGTTATAGTGGTACAAACATGGTGTTTGTCAGCATGAACGACAGAATCAGTCGTTATTTGGGCAGCCAAAGCAAGAAAGCACTACGAATCTATCATTCAGCTTTACCTTATCTTTCGGTTGCATGTCTCGTCCCACAGACGCAACTCCATTTACAATGCTCCGGTCTAGTTCCTTACTGACGACGACCAAGATTGACTTGTGCTGTAGTAGCCACGGCGATTACGAAATAATCAAAGTGTTGTATGCTGCCAGGGCTCATTGCTGCGCTGTAATCATCGAGTCGTGTACCTTATTTCACAACGGTTCGCTTTACTCGACCGATCACAAAGTGCAGCAATGATACTTGGAGCCTTTGCGAGTATACGCGTCTTCCAGACAACAAGGCTTTGCACGATGTCCTAGTTATGGGCAAAAAATGAACTACGCTGCACTCACGTAGTGAGGTCTGCTACTAGATGACGAAACAATAAAGCGAAAGGAGTTGAAAGTTGTTCATATCGTAAAGGGGGAGTGGCATGACACGAGAGTAGCTGTGAGAAGAACAAATCTTACGTTCAATGTGCAGTTTCTGGCAATCTCAAACCCTCTCGATGGAATGTTGTACGCGACTTCGTGCAATGCTGGCATTAAATACAAGGGTCCTGCCTGGACCTTGGCGGGCTCTTGCTTTCCATTCTTTTCCTGCTTGCGTAATAGGATCTGCGTTTCGAAATGACGGACTGGACCCTATCAGGTCCTTTACATTTAATTATCGGATTACATGGTTGATTAAATGTAAACTCGAGTCCATCCGTGATTGTAAAGTACACACTCCTGCAATAACGATGAAAAGCTAGAACCGATAAATGTCTCGCAAAGGCACAGACGAGCCGTTAAATGTGTATTACGACAATATCAATACTATAATGCTGTGCCAAGCGGACAGAGAGCACGTGAAAGAGCAGCTACGACAGCAGCAGCAGACGTGGTACATCCTACTGCACCTCGTGACACTTTTTCTACTCTACTCTATCCACTCACTATTTGTTCACCGTGAACGATCCATAGGGACGATAGACAGTCTACAGGCAGTTGTTCTACTTCTGGGAAACTTCAAATCTGGAGCATTGGCAAGCTCCTGCGTGTCGTCAAGGCATCGATTTCCGCTGAAAACCCTCACGCGACTTTGGCTCACAATGGTATTATTCGCTACCCTGTTGGTTGTGTGAACCAGCATCGGGTAGCATTCCAAAGTCCAGCAATGCTGGACGTTGTGACGTATACGTCAAGTCACGTGTGGGTTACAGGTTTTATCCATTTTGGAGAAGAAGTCGACAATTGCGACATTTTGTACTTGTGCGACAGCCATTCGAAGCTGCCGAGTTACCTATTGGACCCGAGCCCATTCTTAGTGGATCGGTTGGTACTAGTGAAACACTGGGTTTTAGTAGACAAAGCTTTTGGTGGCGTGTGCACCGCTGGATCAATGTTTCTCGAAATCCACGACCGGGAACCAGTGCCGTTACTACCCATGCATGAGATGTACGAGGACTGGACACAAGAAGATGTACGACGTGTGCTCAAAGCAAGCTACGAGTCCATGGATCCACCGATGTACTCGAGCACTGAGCGTTGGGCCACGATTGCAGCACTTTGGCGGGGAAGCGCAGCTCACCAGGATACAGCACAATGTACGGCTACAATTGGCGAAGTGACGACTGCAAGACAGAAGAAAAGGCAGAAACCTGTTTATGCAGTCTACGGTCGTATCACAAGCGTGAGTTCGATTTCGCGCCAAAAGGACCGTGTGAGCAGCCACTTTTTTGTAGAGGTGGAAGACCTTCAGCGTTGTAGTGAATCGGAGACGCAAAGCGCTGTCAACGTGATGTTCACCGGAGTATACAGCATGCGCTGGCACTTATTCTTGCGCCCAGGAAAAACCGTTCTGCTTACTGACTTGGTGAGAGTGCTTTCCCGAGAGTGCGACATGTTCTTGCTCCAAGCAACCCATGCACACCCACCTCACCACAATTTGGAGCCAATGAAGGGAACCACAGTACTATTGTGGGATCCGCCAGCTTTCTCGCGCGACATCAAGTTAAAGTGGATTGACGAGTCGCTGAAAACATGCTCGATGGATCATGCTTTACGCTGCACCGGAAAGCTCTTAGATTACGAAGGCAAAGTGATCCGATTGTTATGGGATGAGTGCATTGAACTAGAAGGATCCAGTGGAACGCGAATAATCGTTTCGCTCTTTCACTTTCCGTTTGAGGAAGAATTGATTCGCCTTCGCAAAGGTGGAAGCGTCCGGGTCTGTGGTGCGCACGTTGTCCGGTGGCCAACACCGGCTGGTGGTAAACTGGTGATTGGATTATGCCCGAGAAGCCACTTTGCTGTCGTGGCTTACGCTGACCCGAGTAGTCCATGTATTTTTACGGGTACCCGTTCGTGTCGAAGCAGAACAAACGGGAAATGGTCTTATTTTGGAGACGTCCATACTCAATCTATGGTGCTGTCCATGTGGCTTCTAGAGCTTCTGGAAGTAGTGGACAAGCAGTTCTTCTTTGGAGAAGTCGAGCAAGTGCGATTCCAATCTTCGGCATTGTCATTTCCACGGACTCGACGCCGTCGAGCGGTAGCTCAAGTAGCAAAGACACTGTGCTTATTGCCGAGTGAGCCCCGAAATCCAGCAGCTATGACCCTCAGTGCTCTCTTCTTGAAATGCCACTCCGCAAACGCAGAAAATTGCATTGCTTTATCCCTCCCTCACCGTGAAAGTATATTGACGTGGAGCAAGGCATTAACAATACGTGAGCTGCAAGCTTTTGCTGAGAGCGTCTCTGACCACACAACTGCAGCTGTGTCTGACGTTGTGGGAAAACATGGTGAACATCGATCCATGCGTATCTCGGCTAAGGATCTTAGTTGGTGCCTTCTTCTTGCTGGAATTCGAGGAAGTGTTGATGACGGGGACCTAGAAGTTTATGATCGCACTGGTTCCATTTCCATGATATTAGATTGTAGTGAGAAGGGTATGGATTTCGTCAGTGGTCGTGGCGTGTACTTGATGCGTAATTTTGACATAACGATCGATGTTTACAATCGACTCGGTGATGACCAGTTTCCAGTGGTGCTGTGCATAAGGTGCTCGGTGGCTGACGTCGTGTTTGTTGAGATCAATGATGACGAACCTGTGGGCTTACATCGAGAAGTAAGTACTGCACGTGATGAAGCGCACAAACTGCAGGAAGCGCTGTTTTTTGTCAGCCATATTGACGCTTTACCGCGGTCCAGTATTCGGTCGTCGGAACTCTTACCAGAATATCGACTTTTTCATGGCATAGTGTGTCCAATTGGTGAAAGCCTTCAACCAGATTGCTTTATGAGGTCACTGTGTACTGCTAACATTTTGGTCAGCTCACAAAGTAGTCACTGGTACCTTCAGAAAGGAGGTTGCTATCGAGTACGAGCACTTGAAGTCCGCAAAAGCGGTGGACAGCGCGTCTCTTCTCATCACGGCATTGAAGACCTGGCAGTGGAAGCATCGATTAACTACTGGGAGAAAGTGGTAGTAGCTGACAACGACAAGCTCTTGTGTTTCGATTCTCTACGTCGATTTCGTTGCCAAAGTATTGGCACACCCATGAACCGGGAGCGTTTATTTCGAGTGTATCAAGTGGGTGCTCATCCAATTGTTCCAGTAAGACTGGAATGTATCGAGTGCGCACGTTGCAAAGTGCATGACCTGTGCCAGCAAGCTGATGTTGATGATAGCGGTTTCATAGTAGCTGGTGTGAACAATGGTTCCCATGACGCGATAGTATCAAGGACCGCAAAAGCTCAACATCTTGTACGAAGAATGCCGATCAAAGCCACTGCTTCTCAAGTCATGGCGATGAGCATTTTTAGGTACTTTCTCGAGCAGTCAGAGGAAGTAGTTTCAGTCTCTAGCCTGCTGCAACAACCGCTGTCGTGTGGATTGCAACAGTCCATTGGCAATGGTAACAGTGTTGAAGAGCAGCCAGTTGCAACGACACTGGACCCGAGTCTACACAAGCCTCATCTTGTATCCGTGAAAGGGATGATTACGAAGAAAAGGTACTACTGGCGATCCAACGGACAGCATCAGCCACTTGCTAGTACAGGGCCAAGTAGTCTGGAGTGTGTTTGGCATTGCCACAGGAGTGTTGCTCAAGGCTCCAGTGGGCGATGGATTTGTGTCCTGTCTGTTCGCGATCTGCAGCATCTGGATTCTGTTGAAGTCCGTGCGGATACGTCACTCTTTGGTTTGCTGGGCACGTTACAGCTAGGCAATGTCGTAGAAATCTCAAGACTGCATGGATTTACTGCACGGGCGAGCTACAAGGTTCATCTGAAGTGGAGTCACTCGACAGCAGCTCGACGACTACTTTCGGAAAGCGATTGCTTATTGGTGCCATGCGATGCAGAACTCTTTGGCTCTTTAAGAACGACGTTTCTCAATGGTCTCTACAACGCTTCAACCATCGACCAAATGCTGCACCGTTATGTGGTTGGAGTGATGCATATGAGCTACATGGTGCTGAAGCGGAAATGCAGCTTGTGTCATCAGACGTTGCAGCTCGATAAACGTCGCGGGTGCTGGAAACATGAAGAGTCACGAGTGGAGTCGCAATCATTGCTCGCCTGTGCGTGGCGGTGGCAACAATTGGCGCCATCGGACGATGCAATTAGAGCTCGGACGTACGTGGGAACAACGGTGCGTTGTATCATTGACGATGGCTCTGGTCAAGCAGAGTTGTTCTTGGAAGACGACGTTGCGTGGGAGCTGCTCGAGTGTTCAGATGGCCAGCGTCGGCGCTTTGAAGACGTTGTGCGGAACTACGTGAGTCAGCTGAGCTACTTTTCTGGTCGCTCTGCGACTGCATCATTTGCAACGAGCAAAGCAGAGCGAGAGCAGGAGTACTACCAGAACGAATTGCGGGCTTTTGTGCTGGATGCAATGCCGTCACTGAGGTCCATTGTGGTGTTTGCCCGGCAGTTTTTCAGTGCAAAGCCGAAAACAAACACATCGGTGCTCACGTTTGGCAAGGACGTCCACATCACGACGTGGACGATGGCATTGCCGAAGTTAGAGGCCAGACGTGTCGATCGAGTTCATGTTCGAGACGAGTTGAAGCGACGTCTCGCACAGCTTCAAGAAGAACTTGGTGATTGAAGTATCATTCTTGCAGAGATGATGAGTTCGATGATCACAGTCTTGATCCGTTAGTGCATCAATGCTTGATGAGTCATTACGTTGGAACCCATTGTCCTCATTTGTTGCCGACTTCAACTCAACAGGAAGCCAAGTCAGTTCTGTCCCCATCTCAGGACGAAAAGGTGTTTGAACTTGTTTCGACGCCGTAACATCGTCGTTGTGGTTAAATCGATCCAAAACGCAACAGCTAAAACAGCAAAACCAGCTAAAAACAATCAACAGAGCACACGAAATTCGAACAAAACAAACTGTCGCCAAACTCACGTCCGCGAGCTCGCCACTACTCAAATGCCGCAACGTGATTGGTTTGTTCTTGTTCATCCCGCACTTAGCAGTCATTATTCAATTGACGCACTCGTAGACAAGCGGCAATTGGAGAAAAAAAAGGCCATTGCCACTCATGGCGTCGTATGATCACGACCCATCGGAGAACTTGGTCACACGGAGCCACAAGACGAGACCGCGGAGTCGTGCGGTCAAGAAGCAGGAGAAGAAGCAGAAGAAGAGGATCGAGGCGGGCGACGTGACGATGGAAGAAAAGAAGTTGCTTTTGAGACGACGCGCGAGTTCCCGGAACGTTCGTGAGCTGCACGAGGACAGAGACGGGGAGGAGACAAGAGACAGGGATGAGGACGAGGACAGAAAAGGGGATGGGTCGCAAGAGCTCTCAGGTGAAGAAGAAGAAGAAGAAGAGGAGGAGGAGGAGGTAGAAAATGAAGAAGGTGAACAAGAGGAGGACAGAGAGGAGCAAGAGGATGAAAAGGACGAGGTGACAGTTCTTTTGGAGCAGGAGCAGCGCTCGGTTGCTGACGATACCGTTTTGAGGCGCACGTATCTGCAGCGAATGTGCGTTAATGGTTGCTATGTTGGATGAGAGGTTGAGATTGTTGATGGTTTTCTTTGCTTTGTTTTGTTTAGTTATCGACAGCTGCAGAGTACACATCCCGAGCAGGACGACACAGTGATTCGGCAGCTTGCTACAAGTATTGAAGTGCAGGCCTGTCAAAAGGTCAAGACGCGGGTACGTCCTGCTTTGTTTGGCGGCTGTTTGAAGATTCGTAGATGGTTGTGTTGCTCCTTTCCTTAGCTTATCGAGGCTTGTTAACTGCAATAGGATGCCTACGTGGCGGCAATGGATCAAGAGATTCATAAGCTTTTGCAGATTGAAATTGCTCAAGCCAACAGCGCCGTTGTGTATTCGGGCGAAGGCCAGCGTTTTGAGAATGTGCACCACGATACTCGAACTCAGCAGTCTGGAATGCCAAGTGGGATTCAAAGCAGTTACTTGTCGAATCAGACCTCGCAGGCATGTAGTTTTGAGTATGTGCAAGCGCTCGCGAAGGTGCGATCTCAGGAATCATGCGGTAGCGACGGATCGTCAGCATTCCCTGTACCTGGCCAGACGAGTGGCGACAGTTTTTTGGCATTCTATGCACCACATCCATCGGTAAGTGCAGAAAACTCGTTCCAGTCGCTGATGAATGATCAGACGGAGTCATGTGGACGCAGCGATTTGCGCACACCGTTACAGCATCAACAATTGAACACAATCAGCAGGGGCATGAACATGCGGAATCACCGGCAACTGAGAACCCAATGTAATCCCACAACTTCGATGGTGTCGCCATCTAGTCAGAACTTTTCGGTGCAGAGCAACGTTGGAAACCCGCCAAGGCAAGCATTATCCCAAAGCGACAGGAAAGCACAACAGCAGCTGGAAGGTTTTCCAAAACACCCACAGTACATGCAACGACCCGACTCGACGCGCACACAGCAGCGTTTTGCGAGCTTTCAAGAATTTTCAGCACAAATCCAGCATCTGGACAAATCTGTGCTCATCGAATTACTGTGGAATCAAAGGAACGCTTTGGCCCGATGGCAGCGTCACGCGAAGCAGCTCAATGTCCAACTATTTGCACAGCAGAACGCTGTTGGCAGTGCGGGAGGGTCCGTGTTCCATTCTCCTTACAAGGTGCCTGTTGTTGGCGGAGGCAGTTACTTTGATCCTAAGGTACCTGCGGACGCCGAGTTGCGTCAATATCGACAAGAGAATATTTCTCGGAGGCCGCAGTTTTCCTGCCCACCACAATCAAGCGAGGGAAGTTCCGCGCGCATGCAAGCGGCTGTTGGCGGCGTGAATCGGAGGGATATTGTACAAGTGTATTGGGACAAAGTTCAAGCTTTGAAGACGGCACACACTGAACACCTGCACATTGCAAAGCGAGCGCTGGTCAACAATTGCGCACCTCCCAATACGCTTTACAGTGTGAAGGCTCAATCAGTGATGAACAATATTGACTTGGTGATCGATATCCTACACGAGCAATCCACGAACGTGCTGCCACGGAAAATGGACGTGCTAACTTCGATTGAGCGCTTCATCCAGATAACAGTCGTGCCCATCGTACGAAAAGTTCGATCTTCATTTATTGCTCCGACATCTCAACCGACGAGCTCATTACCAGTAATGGGAACGAGTTCAGCTACAGAAAATTCAGGTATGCTGCCTGCACGAGATAGCCCGGTGGGCATCACCGGGCAACAAACGGATTGCACACATCATGCTGGATCTGGATGGTCTCCTGACACTTTTTCTAGCTTGAGAAATTTGTCACGGCAATCATCGCGTGAAACATGTTCGGATTCTACCGAAACGGATAGCTTTTCGGGTCGACCAGGTGACGACTGCCCAAACACTCCAACACGAATGATGGATGGATTCTCTGCTGCAGTTGGTAACAGCCCATCCGGCAGCGTGAGCGCAATTTCTGGGTATGCACCGGTTCGACCGGAAAGCAAGGATGCCATAGCAATGCAAGCCAAAACCTCCACAGATCAGGTGTCGGAGTTTAAGGCTAGAAGGGTGCAACAAGAACAATTTCTTCCCACGTCCGAGCTCCGTTTGCCAACAGATTCCGACTTGCGACCTCCGAGCTCGCCAGGTGGTAACACGAAGGAGAGTAAGGAGTTGCAGACAAACGTCGACGACTTGAACGATTTTGCCGACTTCCCTGAGCTGACTTTTGATGAAGACGGCAGCAGTTTTGCGAGAGAAAACAACCCGTCGACTGTTTCGAGAAAGCGAGGAATCGAAGAGGTGTAAAGCGGTTGCAAGCAGAAGACGCAGCGCAATTTTCCTGGCAAGCAGGACCCTACCTACCTATGTATGGCAACCAGCAGACAAGTGAAATGCTGGCGTGAGTCTACTAAGCTATGAATGGAGACATTGCTGCGTATCCAATTACCCGTCTGCTAGTGTCGTTCATGTTGTGTACTTGCATTATTTTTTTCATCTTAAATATCTCGCATGTGTTCGATTGATTCCTCACGTGCTTCGTGTGTGTAGACATCATTTCAATCTGCTTGGATGTTCGCCTCGTTCCTCAACGAGCAAAGCCCTGAGCGACGTTCATTTGGTGCGCTTGACTGAGGATATACCGTGCTCGATCACCAATGGCAGCAGGTCGACCACCCGGAAAAATGGCATTCGGGAGATCATTCCACGACGAGTAGGAGATCGCGACCTCCATGCCGCACTTCTTCTCGGTGGCAGCATTGAGCTCCGTTGCGAGGAAGTATCGTGTCGCGGAAGCAATGCAGTTTCGAGCCCACTCTTCATTACCAGAGGTCGAGGGCATCCGCTGTCGTTCACAAGTGAGTCTGCAATTGCCACGTCGGACCCCCGGCATCGGTGGTGAATCAACCGTGTACCCGATAAAGTAGTAGCCCACGACCTCTCCATCTGCACGCGGCTCAGGATGCTGTGGCCGGATGATCTCGGGCAGTGGATGGAGTGAACCAACCGAAGGTGTGTGTTGCAACGTCTCCACCAGCTTCCGAGTGCGACTAGCAACAAAACTCGACCATTCCGCCAGTGATTCCTCGTTACAAGCCCGCAGCTCAATTGCAACATGGTGGTCGTACCGTACCAGCACTTCCGTCGGAGTGAAGAGCTGGTTCCATGGCGTAGGGTAGTTAAACCTGCACCGACTCAAGTCATCCAGGATGCGTTGCCCACGCGCAAACTCGTCTCGCAAGACGCGCAATGTCGACAAGTTGACGTTCACGGCCGTGTTGACTGCAGGAAAGCCCGGCGTAATGATCGGCATGAGATGTGCGCGGTCGTGAAGGTTGTGAAGGGGGTCCCACTCGACGCCGTTGGCATCGACGCTAGTCGACGGCTGAGCCACGAGAATCGGCGTCGGCCACTGCCACGACACGAGCACGGAAAAGAAGCGGTGCACGAGTGCAGCGACACTTGCACGTGGAAACATTTGGCACACAAAGCACACGAGCAAAGCCCAGGAAATGCCCCCTAGGAAGCCAGCCTTGTTCGAGTACAAGCCGCGCCGTCTTGCCCAGAGGCGAATCACCCGCAGACACGACTTGAAAGTGCTGGCGTTCGGCACGAGCTCAAGGATGAGCGACGCGACGCGAGCAACCGACAGCGACCGGACCGACGCCGTGTCCATGCCACGCATGACTTGCACGTCATCTCCAGGCAGACACAGAAGGTGTTTCGGCACAGCCTGCTGCTGGGCGTACCTGGCAAGGAGCAGGTCCACCCGCACAGTGCTGAGCTCGAACGAGAGCACGGGAACCGCTGCCTTGCGTCTGGCCACGAGCTTCGACACCGACGCTTCCCGACCGAGATGGTCACAGAGCGAGCTGAAGAACAGGTCGGCTGTCACCTCATGCGGCAGGAGCGCGACCACGTCCAGATCCGACTCAGCAACGCCGACTTTCAAGTGCCAACTGCCTCCGATCAGCAACGTCGCTGTCGTCGTCGACTTGGTGGCGCGATCAGCCGAAACTCCGTGGATGACGTCGAGCGTGTGACGCAGCCAGAGATCCACTGTCCGCTGGAGCTCGTGGATGACCAAGTGCTTGGCGGCCAATTGATCGATCGTAGGCAGCGGTGCGAGGGCGTTGACGCACTTCATGAGGCAGTTGGTGCTCCGCAGCTCGTTCTCACTCGGCGGCACGAGCTCCAGAGGTGCGACAATCGGCAACACGCGACGGGGTCCGAGCGGTGCTGCGGACTGGAGCAGCTGCACGTACCGCCTCTGCTGCTCCATCCGATACGCTGCCAACGACGGCACTGGCAGTGGCTTCTTCGCTCGACTCTTGAGCTCGCGCTTCTTGTCCGTCCACGGCGCTTCCAACGCGAGTTGCAGTGGCTCTAGCACCTCCTTCTTGTATCCCGACGAGGGACTTGTACCAGGCGTAGAGCCGTCGTCGCTGCGACTGCTGTAGGTGGATCCGATGGTCGACACGTCGTCGTCGTCCCACATCTCGTCGTGGCTGCTGGAACAGCTCGTGCGGCCTCTTGAACACGTGTCGCTCGGCTTCGTTTGCATCCCACAGCCAGCAGCAGCAGCAGCATTTGTCCCGGTGCTCAGCGTCTGTTTGAGCGCTTGGATACGCGCGACGTCTGCCCAGCACATCGCGCTCATGTCGATCGCGTTTCGTGGTGAAAACACTCTGCAGCAGGTCAATTGAACCCTCCAGCGCTTCCTCGATGCACTGCGCAGCCACGGCCTCAATGGAAAAGTGCACGAGACAAGTGGCCCGGTGTCGTTTTCTCGTGAGGGGAAGGGCGAAGGAAGGCTTGGAAGAAGAGGATGACGGCAAGAAGCTGGTCAACGGGACTGAACGAAAGAACGACCGGATGAACGACCAGACGTCGCTCAAAGCGACGACTTCAGCCGACTTTTGTGGTGGAACTGACTGCGGCGTGAATGGCAAAGCTGCTGCTGGGTCAACAGTTGGCTACGCGATTCGACAACGCGACGACAAGACGCAAAAACGACAAGAACAGGGACAAGGACAGGCAGACCCGAGAGATGGAGAAGAGAGAGAGAGAGAGAGACGAGGGGGCAAGGCAAGACTCGAGGGGGAGCGAACAAGCTCCAAGTAGTCGGTCCGCTGCTTGCTGTTGCGATTGAGGCTGCAGCTTCGAAGGTGTCGGGGGTTGAGGCTGTCGCTGTCGGCTGATGGTTCCGACGGATTGACCACGGAATGGAAAATGAACCACAGCCGCTGGAGCTTTACAGCTAACTGCACGCGTGAGAGGAGCCGCGGCTGGTCTTTGTCCTCCACTTGCAGGCATGTCTCGTTTTGCTCACGCAAGGACCCTTTCTCTGTACAGTCGACGGTGGAAATAGTGCGGGTTCCATAAATAGAATAAGTCAAGAGGCACGCGCTTAAAAAGAGGGGTACGGTTGCCTCGTCTGTGTCGCTCTTGACGACGTGACGCCCGCCTTACCATAGTGTCTACAAATAGAGGACGAAGTGGTGGTGGTCGTCGTCGTGGTGCCATCCAAGGTGGTCAGATTGACCATCTCTATCGATTAGTCAAAGGCTGCTGCGATTTAGCAGCCACCATGTGTCGAGAACTCTCGGTTCCAGGATAGCACGTGTTACTCCCCGTCGTCACTTGCACATGATCGCCACCTCTACATCATCCGCTTCGCTCGGGACTATGGAAGAGACCGTGATGGGACATGGAGTCTGCATGACTCTCTTGAGCTTGTTGTGGCTACAACTGCGTGTCTCCGACTAGTTTTGACTTGAAATTGTTTGGAATTTATGTAGGAAGATGGATGGACAGTTGCGGCACTAAATCGGAGTGGTGGGTTTAGTCGCGAGCGACAGAATGTGTCGACCAGCACATGCAGGCGCAACCCCAAAGGCGTTATGACTCATTGTTGCAGTAGCGATACAAAACAGTTTGTCCATTAGGATGAACCTTTTCCATGGATTGGCGACGCTGTTAGTGATCTCAGACGTACTTTTGGCGCACTTATCTCGACTTCAGCACTTCCTCAATTTCTCGTACCCAATAAGGAGAATAAATAAAAATACCGCCTTGTCAAAATGTCCTCAAATATTGTGCCACCCACCCGGTCAGAGAAATACCAGCAGAGACGTCCATCGACTTTGTGTCGCCCAGTATCCACTTTTCAATAATCTGCGCCATGTGGCCCTGCTATCCTCACAAAAATGCTATGATTCCAAAGCTTTGGGCAGGTCCTTCGTCGATAATTCGTAGGTTAACGGTGCAGCATAAATCGATAGTCATCATGCTTCATAGACTTAACCGGTAATTCAGGTAGCTATTGCCCTGCGCATGTGAAACGTGTGCTAGATCATGCCGGCAAAAGACATGAAAAAATACGAGTCAAGAAGTCTGCTAGAATACAAAGCGCCGAGTTCATGCCGTAAACAGTAGTATCACCTTCGGTGCTGATAAATGGTGCTGTGGTCGTTCGTCGAATCGGTAAATACATCGGAACTGCTAATGCACTGAATGTGCGTCCACAAGAACCTATCCGACTCTTTCAGTATCATGGCAATCGGGTCATCGATACTGCATACCTTTTTCACGTCGTTGCGGTGCCAACATCAGTATAGCAGCTAATTTGCCGGCGCCCAGTACTCATTGTATACAACGTATCGTCTGTTGACGTGACCGGGTCAATGCTTTGTCTCACAGACGAGCCTTTAAATCACATCAAACACGAAGAAGTAGATACTGATCCGACAATTTACTGCGTGTTCACCAGAGCCACATTACACGCTCGCTGCCCAGCTCTTCCCCACCTTACTTGCTTTCATCTTTTTCTGGCCATCTTCCTCTTTCCTGCGCTTTTCCTCGTCAAAGAGTCGTGACCGCTCCTGCTCTTGTGTAAATTGTTTCAACTCGGCGCTGGCTTCCGGGTGAAAATGGCAAACGTCCTCGAAAATAAGGCGACGCAAGGTGCTCGTGTCCATGTTACCCCGATTCTCCCGCTCGAATGAAAAGTCAAAAGTGCTCTCCGCCAGATTCTCCGAGCTCAACTCTACGCCATCTGCATGGAATGGTGCCAGGAACGGATGTGCAATAGCATCATCCACTGAAATTCGCTTGCAAGGGTCGAATCGCAGCAACTTCTTCATCAGATCCAGTGCTTCCGCTGGAGCGTTTTGACAAACTGAACTAAGCAGTTTGCCTTCCTGCTGCGGTTGACGTGCCATCCATCGCCTGGCTTTGATGTTAGTGATAAAACCTATTTCGTCTGGCGGTGGACTTCCTACAAGCTGCAGGATCAAATGCAATTGATGCACGTGGTCATGACCCGGGAAGAGCGCTTTACGCATGAACATTTCCGCAAGGATGCAACCTACAGCCCAAAGATCAATAGCTGTAGAGTACCGGCTTGCGAGCAAAAGTTCGGGTGCTCGATACCAACGGGTTACCACATATTCAGTCAAAGCGTCATCGAGAACAGACTCTCTGTCTTGACTGCTAGGTGAGTCATTCCCGTCTTTGCCGTTCAGTGTGACAGGGCGCATGTCAATACCACGCGCGAGTCCAAAATCGCACAGCTTGATCAGGCAGTCGCGATTGATCAGAACATTTGACGGCTTGACGTCGCGGTGGACTACGTGCGCGGAATGAACGTAACGCAGCCCGCATAAAAGTTGATACGTGATGAACGCGATGTGATCACTCGAAAGAGCCTCGGGAGAATTTATCACTCGGTGCAAATCGGTCTCCATGAGATCGGTGACGATGTATGTATCTTCAAAGTGAGACAGCGATGGAGGGCGCATCACATCTAGCAGCGACACGATGTGCGGATGATGCATGTGCCTCATCAGTCGAATTTCGCGCACAATGCGTTTTGCATCTACAAGATCATCGAAGGTGCGTGGTACATTTTTTATCGCGACTGATTTCCCTGTAATTCGATCACTTGCTGCAATCACTACCCCGTATGCTCCATGTCCAATTGCGCGAATGAGCTGGTATCGCCTATACACGCGGAATTTGGTCGAGGCCACCGTAAATGAGTACATCTCTTCCTCGATTGCAGATTTCTGTTTGTCCTGATCACCCACATAACTTGTAGCTTCCACCAGCTCACAATCACTAGTCACGTCGCTTCCAGCAAGGGAGTCACGTTCATATGGCTGCTGCTTGTGTCCCGTCTCGTCATGTAGCTCATGCAGCCTGTCAAAACTCTTGCGGTACGCTGGAAAATGTCCATCCTGGTTCGAAGTAGCTTCACCGATCAGTAAACCCGATGCTTTCCAATCATCAGTAATGCCTACAGCGTCAATTCGCTCGTCAATTTCGCTGATGGATTCATCAATCCTTGTATAGGGAACAAAGCTAATACTGAGCTCCAGACCACCACAGCTTTCGTTCTCGCCTCTTCGTGCAGCCTTTTCAAAAGACTCTGCTCTATAGATGTCAAATCGATTTGGAACAGCAGCAGACGCAATCTCCTCTTCTGTACCCTCTGACAAGTCCAAGTACTTTGCCAAATTTATTTTTGCACACCCAATAAGTTCGTCGCCAAGGACGCCGACACTCCACACATCCACACACAAAACTGCTGCCAAACCCGGGACAGCCCCAGAAAACTCGACGTGCAAGGTCTCTGCCCAAATCGGCCCTCTTCCTCCACTGCTTTGTACTACACGCGTCGAGTACGACTTCCACGAGCCCACACGACTCAGTCCATCTATAGTTGTGGTAATGACATCCCTGCTGATTATACTGCCGATGCAATTCGGTCTGGGCGACATTTTTGTACAATGCGGAAATCCGTTCAGTCCAAGAATCACCTTATATCCACTGCCTCGCCTGCTTGCAGGTTTTCGCACTCGAAACCGCTCGCCAGATATACACACTACACGAAACTCTCCTGGCGGACAAGTGCTCGTTTGCTGTTCACGCTCACGCGGCAGTGTAGCCAAAGTCGGCGCAGCCGCCGCATCAGTCACTGGACCTGATTTTGAACCCCCGCCATTGGCAAATGCTATCGATGCTGCGGTCTTGTCGGCCAAAATGTTGATGTAGCTAATACGTCCGTCAGCTTCAAACCGCAGCTCGTGTTTCCACAAATGTCGGAACCGCCTTCCGCTGTTTGCGCTTCGAATAGTCTCATGGCCAGAGACGACTGCCAGATCTCCACACCGAGCTATATGCTTGACCTTATAGTGAGATAAGTCCATCGAGCCATGAAGCTTCGCAAAGAAAGTTAACATCCCTGAAAGTCCATGATACACGCCTGCAATAGGAACTGACGGCGGATAATTCGACGTCAGCGTGATGTTTGGGTACAGACTCGGCATAAGCGATGCAAAATTGCCTCTTCGAGCTTGAATGCATCCCCAGGCGTCATAAAAAATGGCCAAGTCAACTCTCACGGGTGTCCCCAGAAGCGTCAGCGTCTGTATTCTTGCCCCGCCATACGTAGACAAAAGTGTAGCAGCCAGCGGCTTCTTCGGCAACGAAGCAACGTCGTAACCGGCAGCTTTCAGTCTCTTTCGTGCCTTTGGCAGCACTTTCTGCACTTGTTCTACTACAGCACCAAGCAAATGGACCCACAGCACTTTTTCCAGCTCACTTGTCACTGCCAAATGCAGCGTCTTTTCCTTCTTCCCCTTCGTCGTCGTCTTGACCACAAAAGCATGGGGACGACTGGTCGTCTCCACATCAACAGCTGTCACAATGTAGCCATGTGTCACGTCCTTTAGTCGCGTTGTTGACTTGCTCCTGCGGCCGCTCTTCTGCTGCTGCGGCTGCTGCTGCTGTTGCTGCTCGAGAAATCGTGTGTGGGAGTCAAACACACGCAGCGTCAGGCCGTCCAGACTTAGGTACACGTCGTCCCAGTGCGGCAGCCACTCGCGTCGCTTGCGAGCCGGTCCATCGTACTTAATCGGGATCAATTGCATCCATCGTTTGGCTCCTATCGCGTCCAAGAGCGACGTCGACGGCGCTCGTAACGGACGCCCAAGACACTTCTGGGGACTCTCAATGGGCTCCACTTGCAGCTCTTGAGCAGGACTACAACGCTCGTCTTGATCTGCACTCGATCCAGCGTCGCTTGGCGCGGGAGGAGACGCAGTAGGGGGCTCCATCTCGCGCCGCCAAGTGGGGATCGAACACCTGCCTGCATTCGTTTCGGTGGTTTGGCATGTCACAAACGGGAGGGAAGCACATGGAAAAAGATAGTGACATCGTGGCACCTCAACGTGTAGCCCTGTGTGACCTATAGCGACTTTGCGAGACTTCAGCATGTAGCCATGTGTTACAACGCCGTGTAGACGAGTTTAGCGACGACAATGGATGACAGAAAAGCTGTAGCACCCACGACAACAGAAAGGGGCTTACGCATGCAGTAGAGCACGAAACCGCCGAGGATCTTGGACTTTTCGAATTGCTGTGCGATTGGACCCACTGGCAGCGACGATCCGGCGGCTGCAAAACGGTGCGTGACAGCTCGCAGGGTGAGTCCCCACAGTACAAAGTCGTGCACGTCTCGACGCGGGAGGTGCTTGTCATCCGGTAGTGGATGGTACGGTCTTGACAGGTAGATGCAGTCGAACAGCATGTCGCCTAGCAGTTTCTTGACAAGGGCCAGCACTCGAGGATGCACCCGCAGAGTCTGTTCCAGCGGGTACGAAAGTACCTGATACCGTCGCGGATTGAACAGCTCTTGCACGTCTACCCAAAACACGTCGGCAATCTCGCACGCCTGCAGCTTGGGCGTGTACTCGTGCTCCTCTGCCGCCACGTCAATGAAGAAGACTAGCACATGAATTATCAAAACATTGCAGCAGTTAGTCCCAGCTGATCGTCAATGTCCTCTACCACTGCTACGAAGCAGCAGTCCAAGTTGATCATCTACAGTTTCCAGCACCTTGTGTGCTGACATGTAACGAGCGCGAGAGATGTGTCTGCAGTGGCGGCAAGCTGCCAATCCAGTGCACGTATCTACTTAGCAACAGCATCATCCAGCACATGTGTGTCCAACGAACGCAGCTCCTGTGACTCAACTGACGCAGCCAAAGAACCGATCGACTCAATCACGTACGGCAGCGTGAGGTCCAGCCCCACCTCCTCCTTCGTCTCTCGCTGCGCCGTCTCACGCAGCGACTCCCACTTCGTCGACTCGCTCACTGCGTCGTCGCGTCCCCACGACCGATTGGTCGTCCCCGTCTGTTGTGTCTGTCGTCGGCCGCCTGGAAACGCCACCTGACCGCTCCATGCATCCTTTTCATTCACACACCGTCGCACGAACAGCAGCTCGAGCGAGTGCTTGGTCTTGTCTCTCCAGCGGAACACTGCCGCGACGCTAGCGCCCTGCAAGAAAGAAATCCATTAGGAATTCCAAGTAGTTACGGAGCTTCTGGTCATTTTTGGGGTTTTGGCTCATGTCACAGGCTCTGCTGGTACCACGGGCGGCGCGTCATGGTACGACAGCAGCTGTTTGGTGGACAAGTTGCGTTGAAGTCGCGGTATGAGCGACGCGACGACGTCACGGTTGACAAACGGCCGCCCTGTCGCTTTGATGCTCATTGTCTCGTGCTGACTGAAGTAAAGTATGACGACAAGGACAGCAGATAGACACTGGGAGAAGAATAGCTGACGGGGGGTAGGGCTGCGTGCATACAAACACGAAGATCGGTTTGTCTGCTTTGATCGATCGCACGGCTCCTTCCACATCGTTTGTGTCGTCACACTGTTTGTTACAAATGCACCCCCATGACCACTTTACGTCATAACTGAAATACCTGCACGAATCGATCACCGAACGCCGCCCTTCAATACCTCTCACAACTCTTAACACTACATACCCTCGCATCAACCGAACCCTGTAGCTGTCCGACTTCAAACGAGTCGAGGACAATTCGGACCTCAATCTCCTCACTCCCCTTCGAATCAGATCCGATCAGTCCAATCAAACAAACGACCAACCAACAAAACAACCAATTAAACCAACGCCTACCCCACGCCCCTTCGTCCTCGTCGACGACGCTCCGCCTTCTGTCGCCCACCCTCTTCCCCTGCCGCTGCAGCTCCCGCATGATGGACCTCGCCAGCCTCAAGGTCATGGCCAACCGCGCCGGCAACACGCTCTACTTCGCCGGTGCTGCGGCCGCAGAGATCGGCAAGGAGAGGGGCACGCAGGCGCTGGCCGCTGCCTCCGAAGTCGCAGCTGTCGGGCGCGACAAAGTCAAGAGCTCCACGACGTTCCAGAGCGCGAGCGTCGCGGCCACCGCCGGGCGGGACAAAGTCAAGACGTCGCAGGCGTTCCAAGTCGCCTCGTCTGCCGCGGGTGTGGGCAAAGAAAAGGCGACGACCGTGGCCAGCGCGGGTCGGGTCAAGGCCGTAAGTGCACTTGTGCTGGCCAAGAACCGCCTGACCGCACTTAAGACGGGCTCGGCGTCCGCGCCCAGCTCGCCGCAGCCGGCGCATCTGCCGTCGGCCGAGAAGCAGTTTTACAAGTACGAGATGTCGGAGGACGAGAAGAAGCAGAAGCGCGCACAGGCGCGACGACGGGCGGACAAGAACCGACACGCGGGCGCCAGTGCCGGTTCGAGTGGACGACGGGAAGGCGGGAGCGCGCGACTGGCAGATGGGGCGAGCGGGAAAGCTAGTGGCGCGGGCGCGGGAGCTAGTACCAAGCCAAGCAGTGGGAGGAGCGGCAGGAGCAGTGATCAACCACCGGGTGGGAGCAGCAGACGACCTGGTGGAGGTGGCAGCCGACGCAAGAAGCAAGAGCGGCCAGCTTAGGGGGTAGAAGATGCTGGATTGGATGTTGACGCGGTCGACTGGTAGTGACTGCTTCGCAGCTGCTGACTGGTGATGAACGAATGGATGAACGAATGAATGAATGGAAGCGCCATGGACGTTGCTGCCTTTCGTACGGCCGACAAACGCGTCCGTTGGTATCAGATGCAGGCAGCACTTGACACAGTGAGTTGGTCGTGAGAAATTGAAGTAATTTGTATACCACTTGCTTATTACCTGGTACGGGTAGGAAGGAGACGGTCGGAAGTGACAGGAGGGATGCAAAGGGGCTGGGAATAAGGCGGTCAATGCTTGCACAGTAGCAGAGTGACGCGAACGATAAGCTGCTACAAGCGCAGGTATGTTGATACGCTGATTACATAACAACCTGCTGAGCTCTTGGTCGCTTTCTTATGCATTTATTACGTATAAGAAAGTAGGTTAGTGCTGGTTGAATGAAGAAAGAGCGCACATCGTCGCATGCTGAGGTCTCCATTTGCAAAGAAAGCGATTCAGAAGCGAAGAGAATTCACCATTCTTGCCCGCGTGCGACATTCCCTAGACACAAATAGTCAGCACTTGCTTTGAGAGTCAAGCACATCGATCACGAATGATCGACGACCTCATGGAATCCCGTTGATCGCTAGCTCCTTATTAGCCCTCTTTCTAGCTTCCAGTGTTTAAATGGGCGCCTTGTCGAGAGTGTTTGCATTGACCTACGATTGATCGAAAGACGAAAGCTGGTGTTCGAAGCCACAACCAACTAACTTTCGTTACATTTCTCAGAGATCCAATAGGAAGTAGGACAAATGTGGTGATCGTCACATAAATGGTAGACAGATGTGACTCGAAGCTGCTTGTCTCCGACGCTGGATCCGAATACACGATGCGTGCCTCGAATGTAGAGGCGTCGCAGTATAGGGTGTACAGACTCAAGATGTGGTCTACAGTAATGAGCGCCTTAGGCCAGCTTTACAACTGGTTGGCAAGAGCCAAATAGTGGAGCGCACAGTTGTCGACTTCGCATCAACTCTGTTTTTGTATTTTACAAAGCTGCACCCGAATGATAACGGTCTGAAGTCTTGTTTTCGACTTGCAGAGACAGCATTAATGACGAAATAAAGGCCACTCGTGTTGCTCACGGCAATGAGTCGATTCATTTTCCAGCATAAGCCTCATCAATTTCCAGCATAAGCCCCATCACTCTTGGATAATCTGCAGAAAACTGGTTGAGACATCATTTAGCAGTTCTGTGGATCAAACTCGATGCTGTGAACGGATAGTGATCAATGTCTTTGTAACAAGCTAATTTGACTTTGTGATGCAACGTACGGACGTGCTGGTTATCGGCACGCACATTGATGGCAGGTGGCATGTAGAAGTTATGTCCAAATACGTTGTTGCAAGTTGAATTGATTGTACCTTGCGGTAGAGAACTTGGACAGAATGCTATCGAAGAACTTGACAAGTTGACATTGTACTAAGACTTAAGGACCGAGAAAAGATCGTGTACTTGTTCCCCAGTTCATCTACAATGTTGTCTCGACATAACGTTTATGGCTTTACTATGACTACCGCAGGTGCTGTGCATGTTGACGCTGCGCTTGTCGCAGCTCTTAGTCAATCAATGATAACCGCTACCATAAATGTGAATTCGCTTACAAGGAGATACTGTGTATGTAGCTGTTTAAACAGTACTTTTTTCGCTTTGACAGGATAAATGGTGAGAATAGTGATACAGTATTATGTTTCATAAGATCACCACGATAACTGCATAAGAACGTGCTGAAATGCTGTCGAGCATCATCTTGGCCCTTCACTGATGATTTGCAGTGTCGACTATTCCACTTTTGCCCTTTAAAAATACAGGTCCCACTATTAGCTTTAGCCTCGGGTGACTTATTATTTATAAGTTAGCAAAGGTTATTAGCTATTGACTTATGGCTATATATTTTGGGATTTAAACCAATTAAATTACGCAAAATTTAGAAATATTATGCAACAAGAGAGCCGCCAATGAGCCTTCCGTTTTCGCTAATAAGCTGGCTCAGTCTCAACTGTAAGAATTTAGAAATAGGAAGCGTAAAAAACTTAATCGAACCGATTTGACAAGCTAGGGGTTTCAAACTTAATTGCTTGGTTATGTATGGGATCAAGGCTCATTAAGCGAAAACGAAGGGCTCATTAGCGGCTCCCTATAACAAAGCTAAGAGAAATTAGATTTTTACCCTATACACACCGTGAAGTCAAAAATTGTAGAATCAAAATGAAAAGGTTATCCAGAATCACTTACTCCTCTTCGACCCCCAAGTTACTATCAACCCAAAACAGCAGAATAATAGCCCCAGAGACCACTACCTCACCTTTCGTCTTGTAAAATTGCTCAGGTTGTGCCTCAAGTACAGAGACACTCAGTCATCCGCGTCGTATGCTGGACTTGCTGTTGATTATCAGGAAAACGGTGTAATTTTGGCTGACTCTTCATTGGTGAACTAATCAACTCTATTGATGGAGACAAGAGTGCCTAGCCATACTAAATACCCGAGATTCCGAATTCAGTGTAGGAGGGGAAGGGGTAAAAAGAAAGGGCTTAAGCAGAGGAGGCAATTGCAGACGGATTCAACCAAGTGCGTGCAGATTTTCGTCCAAGGTAGTGCCTGCACCTCGCACGATCTGTCCCAGGAAACCAAGCTACTCCGCAGACTACAGGGTGACTTTCGAAGTGCCAACGCCACACAAACAACCTTTAATGCTTTGCTTGACTATATTTTCTCTTCCACATTTGGTACAAATTCTTCATCTAGAAACTTACATCTCGCTTCATGGCTATTTTAGTTTTGAGTTGTAAGTTAGCAACCTTAATACGACCATAGAACGATCCTAGCGGACGTTCCATCCTAAAAATAAAGACGAAAGTTGTTAGTTATCGTGGGAAATATTACCGGAGGGAGCACGGTAAATATCTTCCGCAGATGACCAATCTAGACTTGATTTGACTCGACAATCAGTTAGTTCACAGCACAATAATTCAATCGTATCATCCCATCTACTGGCCAGCTGTATTTTAGTAAATCCTGAACGTCGATTACGTGCTTACGCCCTCTACGATATCAATGAGCTCCTGCCTAGACTACACCATCTTCTCCTCGCCGGCTTAGTCTGCTTGGCTCGGCTTTTCGGTCATCACGGGGCACACTTTGCAGAGGGCACGTGAAATCGATATTCGGTCCGGGGTGCAGACAGGGCGCAGGAAACACCGGAGACCAGATTGATAACCCCCGATGGGCCGCTGACGCACCTGGACTGGGCCGACCTTGATCATGTTCTAGGCACGTTCACTTCGTGGGGCCTAAGAGTCATGCCCGGCGACCGGGCCAATAACTCGAAGGCTGAAGTAGAAGAGTGGTAGGGACTAATTAAGGGAGACAACCGCTGTTGCCGTACCCCTCACCTCAGGGTGGCTGGGTTGTTGCTCCCCTTTCGGTTTGCACGCTGCGCTGCCTCCCGTTGCGCACGCAGCGGTAACAAGGCCTCCCCCTCTAATCTGGGCCCCATGATAGGGGACTTCCCGCCCAGGGTAAGGGAGCCGATCGCCCGGCTCTTTGGAGGTCTTCGTCGCTTGGCCGTTGTTGCCTAAAGGCGCAAATTGGGAAGTGCTGGCTGTATTTTGATGGACACCAGACATCCATATCACGCTGTCAATGCATCAAAACCGCGATCTGCAGCGTCAGATCCTATGCATTGAGCTGCAATTGCACCACTTTAATTTCTCGATGAAATACGTCCGGATTGAGTACTTATCACGTTGTTAAGCTGTAGCATATTACAATCTCCACATGCATAGCGCCGCTTGGCATCAAGTTGCACAGCCTCAAACACGAGCGGCAAATGGCCATCAAAACCTCTGCACATCTCGATAGCCACCTTCACGCTTCGGTATGGTGGTAGCTTGTCCATCCCTCACCTTCTTCGATGGCCAACTCTAAACCGTCAGCCGACTGCCGCGCTGTTGTGCGATCGTGGACTTGGCTGCTACCACTGTCGTCGCGCCATTCTCTCCGGTCCTGGTCGACGCTTCATCGACTTGTCGACACGCGTCTCTACTTTCGGAGCGACAGACTGCGGTCGTTACGCGGAAAACTGCGTCCTTTGCGCACTAGCTCTGTCTTGACTCGGCCGTATACTCGGCCCGAAGGTTCCTGCGCTTGTAGAATAAAATGTAGGCGGCATTCGACTTGACCTGGCTGAGCATGGCTGGTGTCACGAGACTATCATCAAACGAATACCAGCCCGGATACAACTCGCCATCACCGTCTTTCCAACTCTTGGCGAAAGCAGTGTAGTGACCAAAACCCATACTTCCGTAGTGATTACTGACAGCAAACAGATCGTAGATCAGGTGATCTGGATCGCTGCTCTTCTCCAGACTATAACGCGACATGTCGAGACCTTCCAGAGGAAAGTCGACAAAAACATCAAGCTTGTCACGTAAAACTTCGTTGCGGTACTCGAACCGCTTCAGTGAAAGCACGAGCACGTCAGGAAGCCGCCACATTTCCATTGTTTTGTGCGCTTGCCGGTGCTCTTTGCACTTACTACAATACCACAGATTCGCCTGGTCAAGCGTTTCAAGCTTCACAAAGTTCTGGAAGCAATCGTCCAGAGAAATGCCCTCATGTAGACGAGGCTCACTAGCTTGTGCGCACATGCTTTCATGGTTTGTAACTTGCTCGACGTCAGGACGGGGAGAAGCTGGCGATGACAGCATTGATGACGACCAGGCAACTGTTACAAACACCGATTCGTTCGGCAAATCCTCACCATGAAGCGTAGCGAAATCCAAAAACTTTGCGTCCGTCGCCATAGGAACAGGCTCATTTCGCAAGTGCACACCATCGCGGTCAGTCAAGTACACGCACTGAGATAACAAACTGCTCGGAATCTTAGCACTTGATACGCGTGAGACATGCGTGTTTAGCAAGTCGGTCCACTTCTCTACCATCTCAGCACATGTCGTGGAGGCACTGAAGGTGAAAAGAAACGGGTCACCTGTCATACTGGATCCGACTCGGTGATAAAGAAAGCCGCGCAAGACGGATTCTTCACTGGACAAATCGTCCAGTTGGTACATGAGAATGCGATCATCTTCTCGTAGTCGAATCAACCGCTCGGCATCGCCGATAATTCGATAGGTCATGGACTGATAGATGTCCGCTGCCAACAGAGCGCTGGGATTCACTCCACAGAGCTTACTCAATGCCCTCTTCAGCTGAAGGACGTTCCCCTTCTTCGGAGCTTCAAGAAGGTATCGAGTCATCGATTTTGTCGGTTCGTTCGAAACATAAATGACTTCAATCCGGCAATTCTGCTGCTGAGGAAGCTCAAGCTGGATGCAATTGAACGGATCAAAAGTAATCGAAACTTTGTTGCAAAGAGGGCAAACAACCGTAGACTTGAACTGGCCCTGGACATGGTCCACAAAGATGCTGTCGTTGCGTAGCAAATGGCGTTGCCAGGCTTTCGTCGCTACAGTCGCATCGTCCTGCGAGCCGTCCGACTCCTCAACTTCGACGTATGGCTTGTGTTTCACACGATTTAAATCTTCATGTAGACCATCGATGATATACGCAAGCAACTCCTGGGCGTCATGCTGTTGGAATCCAGAAAACTGTGGGGCAAATCGACTTACAGCGCGCTTGAAATTGGCGGGCGACGTGCTAGGTGCAGTGCCGAACCATAACTCCTTGAGTAAAACATCATATTCCGCGGCCAAGTTGCCACCTGTTCCCAGCGGATTGTCACGATTCAAATCCTTCTTGTATTTGTTGCTCAAAAAGTAGCGCGTCAGTAACTCCACGTGGCTCAAGCATTGTAGCGCCGAGTTCATAAAACACGTGTTGCCGAGGTTGCGAAGACCCATCTTACCTCGCCGCTCTACTTGCAACTTCTGAATAGCTCCATCTGCTTTCTCCTCGGCCGATAGCTTGGAACGACACAAAGTTTTATGGTATTTCCAATGAGAGGTCTGACAGTTCGTACCGCAGTACCAAATCATGTGGCAACTGCCGCAACGTTTTAACGCTCCCGTTGTTTTACGACAAGCTCCACAGATCTTTGGAATGGGGCTAGACACCACGCTAGGTTTACGATGTACATGCAGCGTGGTTTCTGCTGCAGAGTCTTCTTTGGTATTCGTACAATCAACTCCAGCCATGACCATGTCAGTCTCTTGCTGTATCGACTTGTACTTTTGGCCGCACGCAGTGACTTCAACTTCATTTCCCGCCTGCTCCTACAGTATAGACGCATTTTTTTCAATCAATCTCCATTGAATTCCACATGCTCGCTACGTGATATCACTTAGCACGACGTACCGGGTAAACGTGTACACGATTAAAAGCGTCAATGCCATGTTTGGGATCTCCCTGCACCTGAGCAACGAAGCGTGCGATTGTCGGTCCTCCACTGTACCAAACCATCAGTGCATCCCACACTTCTTGTGGCACGAGGACATAGTGATAATTCTCCTTCAACTGTGGCTGCAACGGCCCGCCCATGAGCTCATCAAGCGACGTCTCTTCACTTACGTGGAGGAGCGGCCAATTGTTAATCTGACCAAGTGGTAACGCATCCACTCTAGCTGCTGTCGTGTCGTCTCTCTCCTCGTACTGTACAAAGTCACACCAGCTGTACCACCACTTGGCCGAGAGCACGAACCGTTTGTCCCCTATCTGAAGTCCCTGCTCTTGTGCTTGCGTCATGAGACGCCTGACGATCGCCCGTTGTTTGCTGCCTTCTAGACGCACCGCTGAACTGTTTGTGCTCAGCAAGTGACGGCTCTCGATTGACCCATTGACGCTGTCAAGAGCAGGAGACGAAGAAGAAGCAGAAGAAGAAGAGACAGTGAGCGCTTCCGACTCTTGACTTGTATTTTGTATCCAATCGGGGCTGGAACATCCGTTTGGGCGCTTAGAAACTCGCTTCACCTGCTTCTTCTTCTTGCCCTGAGCAACACGGCACAGTCGAGAGAGAGAAGAAATGCAGCAAAAGAGAGAGATGTTGTGAGTTAGATTAGTAGGTAGTGAGTGATAAGAAGGAGAGGCAGAGACAGAGGGAGAAAGAGAGGGAGGGAGAGAGATGCACGGTACCTTGCTCATCTTCGTTTGTGTTTGCCAGTTGGCCTGCTGTGATCTACGTTAGAAATTGGTAGTCACGGTTTCAAAGAGTAAGGAAGGATCTATGGTTGTAGGATGTGGCTGTCGCGCAGGAATCGGATCTTATTTAGTGTGCGTGACACTAACCCATGCGACTTGGGTACAAACACAGCTGAAACACGTACGCACGAATGAAGTTATAGTAGATTTCTAGGTGAGGTTGTACGAGCACTGGGTAAGCGGACCTTGTACACCGCTAGTGATCACCATACTAAAAATGATATGGCCTGTTGGTATCATTTGTGCAACTAGATCAAGTGGCTGACCTTAGATAATGCGACAAGGGCAAGCGAATCGTAGGAGTGAAAAGTGTATTGCGTGCATTACCAACTGTTGTCAGAGAATGCACTTCTATGAGAGCGCTAACGTACATTTTTACTGCAACTGATAACACCATCTCTAGATGCAGTTTGTGCATCGACAACTGTTCCTTACTGCTTTTCTTGCACACTGGTAGCGACACAAAACACTATTTGAGCACTACTTAGTTTCGTGAGGTTTACACGCAAATAGATGGTGCTTTGCATCTACGTCGACTGGCGGCAAATGGTCTCGACTAATCCTAGGCCATTTTACTTTTGGGTTGCAGTGGAAGCAAAGGTTCCCATACATACTAGCGACGAGGTGATAGGATGAACTCATGCGCGCAGACGTTGACGATACATGTGGATCCTGTGTCTATGGTCAAGTTGGAATTTTCGCGTGTACATGACAAAGGAGTCATGTTGCTAGCACACCTGAGTGGGAAGCGCACGAATGTCGCATATGTGTAGAAGTGGCCTGCAACACATTTGGATCGGTCCTTGGGCTTTATCGCAGTCTCACTAGGGGACTATTGTAACAAGTGGAAAGTGTGTGCTCGGTCCGTTGTTAAAAGAGCCAAAGAAAAGGCTGATGCCCGACGTCAGGTGGGTTGAGAATTTGAAATACGATAAGCTTAGTGTCCTAGAGTGCAATCGAGTTGTTGCATGATGGAGCGAAGCGGTCGGATGTTTTAAGACTTGATGGGGGTCACAACATCGTTCATGACAGTGAGCGCTCGAGCAAGGGGTAACGGCGGGTTTTCAAGCTGTCGGGGTCAGATCGCCAACGCTGCGTTCGTTGTAAACATTGTTCTAGCACTTGTATGTCGTACCAGCGTTGCACCATGGCATTTGCCGTCGTCCAAATTCGATTGTATCTCTTTACGAACTCAGTGACGTCCGATCAAGTAACGATTGGGATGGCAGCCAGTCGGGTGCAACTTTGGTAGCTATACTGAGACGGGGCTGAACGAATCGTCGCCGTGCAAAATGACCCCAGGGCTAGCGGCAAAGTCATTTAAGGGTATCGGCAAAGTCATTTTAGGTCATTGCTATCTTCATCTTCGTCATCTGAACGATCTTAGCAACTTAATCTGTACAGGCAGCAATGTAACATCGTCATGATCTGATTCAGGTCGTATGTTCATTTTGGAGATTCAGCATGGAGCTGTAGCAGGACTCGATTGCTATTTCTAGAACAAACAGAACGACAGATTGCGAGCAATTTACTCGACCAAAAAAACGGCAGCATATCGTATTGATCGCCTGGTATGGGACAATCCCTCACGTAGCGGAGTCATGCATTAATTCTGTACACTTGCTCAGCTGTGAGTACGGAAGTCAACGACAGGTATACATGTCCGAACAGTAAAGCAGTGGATTACAAAAATCTTGGAATTGTGACGACCAAATGTGGCAAGCGACATGTAATAACAGCGTACAGCTGCGCACACTAATAACACAAGCACGAAACATGCACGTGCACCCACGGTCTCCTTCTGCCGTTCAAGGCAAAACTCTGCGCATCAGGTGCAGAGAGATTGCCGTGTACTTTTGTCTCCTGGAAGGAACAGCTTCATAGTAGTTGCTGCTTGATAAAAATGGTACCGGGTGCATGTTCGTCGTAAGAGTCAGGCGCCGACTGCAGCGAACCCGATGAGGCACAGGAAGCTGGACTATCTAGCCATACGGACCGGGCTACAGCTTCTTCACCACTCGTTATCCGGTTGCTCAATAGATAGCACGCAGAAGACGACTACCGTTGCAGATACTGGTCGCAGCAATGAAGAAGTAAAACTCACTTTGCTTTTGATTCAGGAAGCGAAAAGCTGTGAGCTCTGCGACTGTGATACCGCCCACGTAGTATACCAGCACATTCATGCGTTTTCCGCCCTTGCTGCTTTTATCGACATTCGAAGCCATTCCGGATAGTCTAGACATGCTGCTGGAGAAACTTTCGTATTCTCTGCCCAAACTTATGCGTGAAGACGCTGGATCTTTGGCTGAAGTCTTGTACTTCATGCCCAGCGATTCTTGCAACAAACGAATACTCATTGGCGCGTAGCCCGTATAAGGAAACATGAAATTGATATCTTTGGGAGATCTCGTTTCCTCGTCATCCAGTACACCACGCATGAGTAAAAGCTGTTTCCGCTTTTTCGGGAAATCAAAGCGATTCTCGATAGACAGCAAATCCATTTTCTCCAGCTGCACGAGCAGTGGCAGGATTTGGTGTCCATACGTATGGCAGAGCTGCTGACGGTACCAGCTCAACGTACTCGGCTTGAGCCCCCCCCGAACAAGAGAGCACAAGCAGAGTAACTTGACTACATCGTATAGGTTCAAAGGCGGTTCACGCAAAATTGCTTCCTCTAAAAAGGCATCAATTTCTTTGGCAGTAGCAGAAGACGCACTGGGGCCGGCACTCATGATAGCCATCTCAGTCTCGACACAACCACGCAGTGCCAGCTGCGTACTCAGATCTCGAATGCGCTGTACAAACTGCAGGTGGTGAGACAATGAGCGTTTCTTCTTAATCAAGTGAGGTGCTTTTGCCAACAGGTCCTTCACTTTTTGGAACTCAGCTTGATTGTCTTTCCGCACGTCAGTAGTAGAGCTCGGCTTGTTGCCACGCACTTCCGTTGCTAGCTCCTTTGCAACGTTAACCAACTGGTCGGGCACCAAGTTAAAGTTCACATCGCGGATCTCGTCAAAGAGCGCATCCAAGTGGTTCAGCACCACTTTCTGTGTCGAAGTCGCTCGATTCGATTCGTTTGTCCCGACGCTGCTGGACCGTCCTCCGTCTTCGACCTCGTTCACCGTCTCGGTCTCCTCGTCCTTCGCCTTCTCGTACGTGACAACACCGTGATTCACCCCCACCAGTGCATCCAGCAATCCTTCATACGTCATGGGCGTCAGCAGCATCGACAACGGGTCCTCCATGCGGTCAATAACCACCAATTTATCCACCAACAGATCACCCACCACACCGACTTCTTTAATTGGAGCTTCCACCCCTCGACTCGTTTTTTTCAGTCTCTCTTCTTGTCGATGGACCAGTTCCAACATGGTCTTAACCCGTTGAGCAAAGAACCCGTGACGCGTCACATCCAAAAGCCGACGTCCCGTGTGTCTCTCCACCGCCAAAAGACTCCGAACGACGTGCGTCAAAGACCGACTGTCCCCTTTTACATAAAGTTCGCCAAAGATACTGTCGTGACACAGAGCCGCGACGCCCCGATCCACTGGAATCAGTCCGAGCGGTAGATCCCCTTGGTCGATCAACTCCGCGGCTCCCTGTCGCTCCATTTCCAGCGTCACGTCCGACGTTGCAGCAGGGAGCCACAAGACGGCGCACCGTCGCTTCTGTGTATTTTGTAGCGGGCGGAGCGCATCCGCGAGCCGCTTAGCGACCGTCGGGAGCGGAGGAGCCACCACCACGAGCGTCGCCCCCTCGTCCGGCGTCTTGTGTTGTTCATTGTCAATGTCCAGTTGCTGCTGGAGCGTCTGGGAGGCGGTTGTCCCGTCGCTGCTTTGGAGCTGCACGCTCAAGAGACGCGAAACGCCACAGCGCTCGTAAAAGTTGGAGCCGCCCGAGCCAATCGCCAGTAACTCGAAGATCGCGAGCTGCGACGCGTCCACAGCGAGCACGACGTTCGTGGTGGGCCGTCCACCGAGCACGTGGGTGAGGGAGGCGGCGAAAGTGGTGAGCGCGTCCGACTTGAGGGCAGCTTCGAGGGCCATGAGGAGGAAAAGTGATTGGTGGGTAGTCGAGACTTTGGATCGGATGAGCGTCTATTGTGAATTCGAGGTCCAGGTTGGAACTCGTTGGTTTCATGATAAGCGCCTGCTTCTGGATGGATCGATGAAGAACTGATGATGATTTGGGGAGCGATCCTACGGAGGTTCTGTTCATCAGTTGATGACTTTTCCAGTCGATTGGTGGACTGCAGAAGTATGCATGTGGCAGCGTTGTTTAGGCTGCTGCTTGTCACGGGTGTTTGTCGACTGCAATTGTAAAGTAAGGGAGCACGCTCTGGAGCTCGCCCCTTGATTGGAGTAATCCAGTTCATAGAACTGAATCAAGTTGCAAAACGCTGTACAGCAGTAGTCACTGAGAATGGGAGACTTCACATACACTAACATTTTTGCCTGGGTACACGGGCGAGGCTATTCCGTACTTTAAATTTTGCTGTCCCGTACTGCAAATGCCGTCAAACGTTTTTATGAGCAGCTGATTAGCTTAATAGTTACGTTTATCTGTATTATGCAATACATAGAAGGTCAGAGGTGCGGAGATTAAAGAGCTTCCATTGACTGGAAATAGTGCTGAGCCTTACGGACGGTTTGAACATCTCCAATTGGAAGATTAACAATGTCCGAATCTATCTCTGGAGTACCAATTGATGCTAACTCGTCTAACCGAACCTGGTGTGACGGCACCTGCACCCGACAGTCTACCAGAGCTAGTATTTTAGCACAAGCGAGCTGCTACTTACTGGATACAACTCTGATTCATCATGCAGCAATTCCAGTCAGTATATTAGCAAACACCATCGTACAACTTGACTCGGTGTTTAATCGCGCTTATCCTGACCATCATATTCGGCTTTGCAACGGAGCTACTTAGCGCTCCTTAACAGAGGAAGTCTTAGACTCAAAGAGTCTCTTAGTTATTGCAAACTCACAACGACGTACAGTTGTTCAAGCGTACAAGCTTAACAATCCCGGTTCCAAAGTGATTACAGAATCACATACTATCTAGTCACTACTAGTTAAACAAGAGTAAGCGCCTTTACAAGGATAACACTCTTGCAACACACTGTGCCTTGACTAGGCACTTGTGTCCAACGATTAGATAGGGGAACTGAACGAAATTTATTATTTGACTGCGGTAACAAACCCTAAAACCTTGTCTGACTGACTTCTACATTGCGATCGTGTGACAGAAGTCTGATCCCTTTATCCCTACCCGATACGGTATTACCGTAAGTACGTAGTTCCAAGATTGTACCACTCAGATCC